TTTCCATGCCATTTCTTCTTTGAATCTTACATTAATTTAGATGTGTGGGGTTTTGTTTCTAATTTTCTGGAGTTTTCCAAATATCTTTCTGTTATTGACTGCTAATTTACTCCGTTGGAACCAGAGAACATACTTTGACTATTTCTAGACTTATTGAAACATGTCTTATGACCTACCATGTGGTTTATTCTGGTAAATGCTCTGTGTGCTTTTGAAAATAATATATGTTCTGCTCTGACTGGTGTTATGTAAATGTCAACTGGGTCAAGTTAGCGAATTGTGTTTTCCAGATCTTTTACATCTTCATTGATTTTTCCATCAACTTATTCTTCCAACCAATACAGATGCCATACCAGCTCCCTGCCAGGATGGCTAAAAAATAAATCTCCTCACAGTTACCACTTGTTCACCTAGGAGTGCTGAAAACCTATGAGTTTGATGTTTTTTTCCATTAGTCAAGCACTGAACAGGCATAGTCTGAGTAGCCATTAAAATCCAGGTCATATACAAAATCACTGAGGATACAGAATAAGGATTGTAGTGCCTGGTGCAGAGGTCCTTGGTTGGAAACTGTGGGTCTAGAATTTCTAGCCCCAGAGGTATGAGGGTGCTTCCCTCCAGGACCAAATGTTTGTGTTTCCACATTTTTATTCAACTGTCACTGCTCTTTCTGAAGCTGGTCTTGCCCTGGCTCATGAGTCCCCTCCTCACAACTATCCTAGAGATGATCTTGTTACCAAGGTCCCTGCCTACTGATAAAGGTCAGCTCTTCCAATGAAGTGTTACTTGGATTTTCAAAATGCCTTTCTGTACCTTTTATACAACAGCCGTATTGAAATATAATTCACATACCACACAACACACTCATTCAAAGTATAAAATTTAGTATGAGTATCCCCCTACATTTTATCCCCCTAATCCACACGTAAACTCTGTAAAGACTAAGGAATACTAGCTTGCATCTCTGTAGCACAGCTCAGAATACACAGCAGGTACTCTATAAATATTTGCTGGTTAGCTGATTCAACAACATACTGGAAAAAGTCTGGTCCCAGTACAAAAGAGATGGTTTCAAGATGCTCAAAGGCTACAGAAAGAGGCAGATTGGTCCAGATTGCACAGAGTACAATCATTGGAGACTTACTGACAGAAATGTGGTTCTGGATGGCAGAAAGACCAGTAGATCACCACGATTTTTGCCTGAAGGAGAGAGTTTACATAATCAATAAAACAAAAGTGATTTCCTCCATGCCAGAATGTCCCTGATCTATCTCAAGCTAATCCCAGGGTTGCCAGGCACTTCCTTATACTGACGCCACCAGGATCTGGATTATCAGTCTCCACAGAACACTCTAATGGCTCTGTCTGCTTGCAGCGTGTTAGGAAACTGTATGGGGAAAACAGGGCTACTCGGGGATTATAGCCACAGTGTAGGATGGCTGCAGTCAGATCAAGCTGAATCCCTACAGTGTAGAAATGTGGTTTTGTATGTACAATGAGTTTTTTAATGGAATCTTGGAAATTTTAAGAATATGATTTTTGAGTGGGTCCTTCTTTCACGTTAGTGATGTGGTAGAAATCTCCAGCCAGTATGAACAGTGATGTGGAAAGCGTGGAGTCAGTGATGATTCTTTTTATAGTCATTTGTCTGTGTGGAAGATGATCAACTAATTATGAAATAATATTATTCTGGTCCCCCCACCATCTTTCACTACACCTGGATAGCTTTATTGTAGAGACTAGTGAACAGAAAAGGAAAAAGAAGCAGTTTGTTGCCCGGAGTGTGGAGAATCAAGAAACCAAAGTAGGAGGAAAAAAATTTGTGCCAACTACTGTAGCTGTACAACTATCTACTGTATTAGTCAACGTTCTCAGAGAAACAGAACAAGAGGGCATGGATACAGATGCATTTGTAGAAGGTGAAAAGTCCTATGGCAAGTAGCCTACTGGCCGGGACACTAGGATGCTGATGGCACAACTCAGTCCAAGTCTGAAAGCCTCAGAATGAAAGAAGCCAGTTATCTAACTCCCAATTGGAAGCTGAAAGCCTAAGAACCTGGGAAGGTAGCTTGGTATAAGCCTGGAAAGCCTGGACTTCTGACATCCAAGGAAGAGGAGAGTATATCCCCAGTCTTGTGGAGAGAGGGCAGTTTGCCTTCTTTTCTCTGATTCTTCAGGAGGTTGTGGGTCTTCCCAAAGCAGGTTGACTGAACTCACATGCTAACCTCCTGAAACACTCACCAACGTACACAAATAACACTTTACCAGGTTTGTAGTCGCAATTTAGTCAACTTGACACCTAAAGTAAACCATCACATACATGTGTGCATGTGTGAAGTCTTCCTCAGTAAGAATGATGCTTTTAACAAATGTATTAAATGAGAAAATATTACTGCCCTCTTTTCCACAGACACAGGGGTTTCTATTGAAGGCAGGGTGGTGCACCAGAAAGGGATGTGTTTAAATCCAGCCTGAGCCCTTACTAGTTGTATGACTTCTGCAAGGTTCCTGAGCTCTCTATGCTTCTGTTTCCTCATGTATACAAAGAAGATAATGACTCCTATCCATAGGATTGTGAGAAGTGAGATTGGGTATATGAGGCATTGTTGCTTCTACTCTTCTCGTCTCTTTGACACACACCAGAGTAAAGACAGTTTGCATGGCACAGGGGTGGGGGAAGGCCAGTGGGAACTATGCTTGGGATATGGCATCTGCACTGACAAAGTAACTCCATGTATAGGAGACCAAGGTGTGGAGCTTCTTGAAGCTTCCTAGAGAAGTTTGAAGCATGTTTCATCTGAGCCATGGCAGGTCCCCAGCTGGACGTAGGAGGAAACAAGTATGGTTTGAGAAAGATAGACAGGCCACAGAGGCTCCCAAGTGGGTGAGAAGAGGGAGGCTCTGAGAGCCCCAGGAGGAAGACTGTCAAGGAGCAAAGCACTGCCCTGCTGAGGAGAGGAAGGATGTGGTCAGACAGGGACGCCTTGAGGTAAAGATATGGATGTACAGCACAGGGATAGGAGGCAGTCAGGTCTTCTAAGAGCGAGGGGGACACGCGGGAAAGAGGACAGGTGGCAGTCTAAGAAAAGTACAAATGTGGGATACCTTCCTGCAGTTAAGACTATTTTAAGGGTTGGTAAAAATAAAGGCAAAAATAATATTGATGACCATTAGAGAAAGCTCAGGATAACACAGCATGAGACCTTGATAGGATTCCTTCCCCACCAGTTTTGAGGATGGCTCTGTCTGGTTGCAGAATCCATGGACAGGAATGAGCAATCCCTACCCCATAGTCCTGGAACAAAATCCATGGCAGCCATGGGAGCAGCAAGGAGAGTAAAGGTCTGGACTCTAGAGCAGCCCAGAGAGGCAGTCAGGGGCATGCCTGTGAGTGCACAGGTCTCTGCCATGGATTTTCTGCCTCCAGCTTGTCTCAGAAAGCTTATGAGTGAATCCAGGTGACTCTTATTCTCTGTCATTACTATAAATAAATTCTTATTTTAAAAAGCAGTCAATATAGTCAATAATATGCTAAGAAGCAATGTTACTGCAGGGTTCTCCTGGGACTCCAGCCAAGTCAGAAAAGTTTGTCATAGTTTATCACACACATCAGATAACAGTGGAGAACAGGTGTTTAACCTTAGAAAGTCCCAGTAAGTCCACCACCAACATCAACTTGTCCCAAACTTTCCCCTAGTATCTGAGTAGATGCTGGATTTTAAGTACTTTAAAAACAATGATAAGCCAGACATGGTGGCACATGCCTGCAATCCCAGAGCTCAGGAGGCTGAGGGAGGAGGATGGTGATTTCAAGGTCAACCTGGGCTAAAATGGCGAGACACTATCCAAAAAAAATGTTATGAAAGTGAGTAAAGTCTCTAGATGTTCTCCAAACCACAGAGCAGAGAAGTTGGTGCTCAGGCTGGGAAGGCTGATGTAGCCACTGCAGTCAGTCTCACAACACCACTACACAGACAGAGAAGTGGGTGCAGAGAGGGTCAGGGTCAGAGGCTCCTGGGGTGCAGTGGAGATAAGTGTGCCACACTCACCACCAGGCCTGTCTTCTCACTTGCTGCTTCAGTGGTGCCAGGCAGGTGCCACGTGGCAGGCCAGCTGCCAGGTACCCACTGCCTTCCCACTGGAAGCACGCCAGAAGCCCAACAATATCGCAACACAGCACTGCGTTGCATTTTCGAGCCCAGGCTTGTGACCCTGGACAGAGTGCTTCAATGGAAGCCTCAGTCTCCCCATTAATAAAATGAAGATGGTCATTTTTTTTGTAATCATTACATCAAATAATCTAAAGCCTAAGGGCCATGCCTTGAAGGTCATAAAACGACTAGTATCTAAATTTTTAAGCCACTTATGAATTATTTTAGCAATTACTGCCAGTTGCTTTCTGTACAAGGGCTCCGTGACCCATAAGACGTTATATAAATTTAATGATGTGTTGTGACTGTCAATAGTGGTAGCCAAGGCTCCACCCACAGTCTCCTTTCTTTCTTCCTTCTACCCCACACTGATTTTTGGCAACAAGACATTCCCATAGACTCAAAACCATAGGGAAAGAAGGGGCCGACAGCAAGAACTTTGTCACCCCTCCTCTCCATTCCCCACACCCACTCAGGAGACGACAGGGAAAGCCTCTGCCAACAACCCTGTCCCTTTTGGTCATGGTTCCACAAGGCCATGGTGCACCTGCAGAGGCTTTCACTTTAACCACTCGCCAGAGGAGAGGGAGCCCCTCTTCTTTTACCATCTTCAAGAAAGTATTTCCTACACAACTTAGGTTTTGAATAGTAAACAAAGCACATAGCATACAGAGCTACAACTGACGTGCAAGTACAGAGTAAAGATATTGGAGAAAGACACCTCTTCTTTGAGTCATGTTCTTTCCTTTACTGGAGCAAGATAGTTTACTGTCCTCCTGTAATGCACAACCTACACAGCCTCATGTAGCAGTCCATAGCTTGTATTCATCCATCTCTCCTCCTCTTTAGGTCCTGAAGCATCTACGGCACCTAAACTTCACCAATAACATGGGGGAACAGGTGACATTTGATGAGTGTGGTGACCTGATGGGGAACTATTCCATCATCAATTGGCACCTCTCTCCAGAGGACGGCTCCATTGTGTTTAAGGAAGTTGGGTATTACAACGTCTATGCCAAGAAGGGAGAAAGACTCTTCATCAATGAGGAGAAGATCTTGTGGAGTGGGTTCTCCAGAGAGGTATGTGCAGAACACACCATGCCACCATCAAAGACTTGGAAGCCCTGACCTTGGGCTTCATCGAAGACTTACAGAATGATGGGTCTTTTCCTCAGCTCCCCAGCTCTGTGTGTTCAGAGCTCTCATAAATTCCAAGAGTGCTTAACGTCCAGAGGAGATGCATAGGAGTCTGAGACTTGTGCCTTCTTATTAAACAGAAACAAACTCACTTTTGACTTCCTGGCTAGTCATGAAGTTTCCCTGGCTAAAACTTCCCCTAACCAGAGCAAAATATTTAAGTGGCTCTCAACTGGGACTGAAGGAGACATCCTACCTACCTGAGGTACAGGAGTCAAGTTTGAGACTAAAAGGATTGCTTTTTAGGTTGTCACAATGACCAGGAAGTCAATAGCCTTCAAAATTGTATGGGGAGGGGGGCTCAGAGATGCTAAATGTCCAGCATGTGTGGGACAATTTTGCATAACAAACATTTTCCACCTACCACAATTTCTATTAATAGCCATGCAGAGACTTTAGTCCAAATTGGAGCTGGATGTTCAAGATGAGGCTAATCAAATAGCTCAGGACTATATACATCAGAAAGGACCATTTGTCCCCTACTATGGGAGACCTGTAACCAAGAGGAAGATGTTTATAACTTTGGTCTAAAAGTCTCATTAATAACCAGAATCCTGGGAGCTAGAGAGATGCCTCAGTGGTTAAAAGCACTTGCTGCTCTTGCAGAGGACCCAGATTTGTTTCCAATCACATAGTGGCTCACAACCATCTATAACTCCAGCACCAGAAGATTCAAAGATTCAACTTCTGGCCTTTTCTGGCCTCCAAAGGCACCAGGCACATGCATGGTACACATACATACATGTAGGCAAACACTCATACACTTAAAATAAATAAATCTTTAGGAAAAAACCAGAAGCCCATCACTCAGTGAAGATGCCCTTTAGGAAAAGACATGAGATATATTGAAATGATGGCCTTTCTATATGGCCCTAGAATGTAAGCAAGATGCTTAGCCTCACCACCCCTGTAGAAACAGAGCCTGGACAAGTCATCCTTTTAAAGTTGTCCAGGAAGCCTGGCTGACCTCTACTACATTTACCCTTGATTTCCCTTTCTGTTGCCATCTTTGAGCATCTTCAGCTACTTTCTATAACATGACCAAAGATTCAAGTTGTTCTTACTGCCCAGTGCTTCTTCAGATGATGGGTGATTAGTGAGATGTGGTTTTACTGTTTCCAAGCATTTGAGATGGATTACCCACAGGGAGGTTTCCTATGACACTGAAACCCGTCCATAGTGGGTAAATCTTCACTTCAATTACAAAAGATGTCATGACCTTTTTGGGATGGAGGTTTTGGGATTCTACAAGGTACCCACTAATTATGCCCTTGTCTGAATTTCACACATTTCAAATGACAGGGAACTAAACTGAGAGGCTATACCATCACCTGTGCACCCCTGCTATCATCCATCTTATCATCTGTCCCCACTGATGCACATAATTGACTGTTCATCATTGGTGCATCTCTTCTGTGCCTGCACAGAAGCTATTTCCTGTAGTTCCCAGTAACTCTAATGTCCTCTATCAGGCTATGGACATAATGGGCTTAAACATTAGTAAATGCATAACAGAGAGAATCCTATAAACGCAGTCATTTATGTTCTTGAATAACTGACAGACAGAATTATAAATTAAATTTTAATTTTCCAAAGAAACATGATCTCAAAGCAAGCACACAGCATGCAGTCAGCAAACCTTAGGGTCTAACCAGCTTTTCTGAAAATTTTGTAGGAACAACCACAAAAATACCACGAATATTTAATTATAAATTCTACAGTAATAATTTCTCTACATATCTCACAAAACTGTTACTAATCAAGTGAAAGCTAGAATATTTTCATATTATCACTTGATTACTAAATTATAAATTGATTTATACTATGCAAATGCAAACTGCTATTTATACAACACTGAATCTTTTTATTATGTGTGTATGGTGCTGGAAACTAAACCCAGGCCTCATGCATGCTAAGCACACTTTCTGTCACTGAGCACATTAGCATTTTATATTAATCAATAGTCTCTATTTACGTACAAATGAAGCACTTTAGAGCTAGGTGGGTCTCTAAATATCCTAATACCTAACCTTCAGTCTGAAGTTAATAACAGTGAAGTCTGGGGCTGAAAAGGTGACTTCTCAGAAATGCAAACTAAAATTCTCTCCACCCCAATCAGAACAACTATCATCAAGACAACAAACAACACTCCTAGGTATAAACCTGAAAGACTCTAAGTCAGCATCCAAGAATACCAGCATGTCCATGTTTATTGTAGTACTTTTCACAACAGCCAAATTATGCAATCAGCAGAGGTGTCCATCCATACATGAATGGCTAAGAAAATGTTATACACACACACACACACACACACACACACACACACACACACAATAGAGTTCTGTTGAGTCATGAAGAATGAAATTATGCTATTTGCTAGAAAATGGGTGAAACTGGAGATTTGTCATATTAAGCAACATGTCAAATATAGGAAGACAAATACCAATTTGTGAGCCCTAGAAGTCTTTATAGACACATAAAACCATATATGTATATATGTACATATGTATATATATATGTGTGTGTGTGTGTAGTATGTTTAAGGCATGAGAGCAGAAGAGGGGACTACATAAAGGAAGGAGACTACAGGGAGAAGAAAGAAGAAGAGGAGAAGGACTAGAGGGAGGAAAGGGGAGGGGTGAATATAATCAAAGTACATGATATACTTGAAAAATGTTGACTATATGAAACCCAGCACTATGTACAATGAATTATACCCACTAAAATTATTGGTTAAAAAACCAGCTTCCCAGATTAGGCGGGTGGTCCATGTAAGGGCTGAGGCTAAACTCCAAGGCTCCAAAAGCCAACCTCAGTACTCCACCCTCTACACTCTTCTTCCAATAATTATTTATTTCACTGCAGCAAGAATGAAAAGAAGCATCTGCAGCTGGGTGTGGTGGCGTACATCTTTAATCCCAGCATTTGGGAAGCAGAGGCAGGCAGATCTCTGTGAGTTCAAGGCCAGCCTGGTCTACATAGTGAGTTCCAGGACAGCTGGGGCTACAGGGAGACCCTGTCTCAAAAGGACAAAAAAAAGAGGCATCTGCATTCAGGGCTTGGAATTCAGATGAGCTTCCTTGGCCAGAATTGGACAGGCATTGTTTTCATTACGTAAACTTATTCTTTGTCAATTTCATACATGTATATAATACATTCTGGTTACTTTCACCCCCTCCCTCTCTCCTCTCCCTCCCACTCCCACCAACCACCCTTTTCCACATTCATGTCTTTATGTTTTATCTTGTGATCCACTGAATTTAAGTAGAGCCATCCATGTACATGGGTGTCAACCCATCCATTGGAGTTTGGTGGACTCACCAGTAGGCACACAACTGAAGACAATAACTCCCTTTCCCCCAGCATCCATCAATAGCCAATAGCTCCTCAAGCAGAAGTAAGGCCACTTGAGTCCCTGCCTGTCCATGACTGACTGTTGCCAGACCCAGTCTTACACAAGTCCAGTGAAGACAACTGAACCCCTTGAGCTCATGATTGCAAAGGGCTAGAATGCCCAGAAGACAAGTTTTACAGTCCTTCCTATCATCTGGCTCTTACATCCTTTCAACCCCCTCCTCCTCAGTGTTCCATGAGCCATAGAGAGTATTCTAGTTTGCTTTTCTGTTGCTGTTATAAAATACTCTGACCAAAACCCAACTTGGGGAGGAAATGATTTATTTCATCTTACACATCTGTCCATCACTGAGGGAAGTCAGAACAAAAAAATCAAAGCAGGAATCTGGAGGAGGCACTGAAGCAGAGGCCATGGGGAAACACTGCTTGCTGGCTTGCTCTCAGGCATGTTCAGCTACCTTTCATAAGCAGCCCAGGCCCATGTGTCTAGGGATGGTACTGCCTTCCATGGGCTGGGCTTCCCCACATCAATTAGAAATTAATAAAATGCCTCACAGACATGGCCATAGGTCATTCTGATCTGGGTAATTCTTCAGCTGAGGTTTGCTTTTCCCAGGTGACTCTAGGTTTGTGTCAAATTGACAGTTGAAGCTAACGGTGTCAAAAGGGATAGCATAAATGTCCTGTAAATGTCCTGTTTAGGGATAAACACCCAACAGTCACTTATTCTCAGATCTTGAAAAGTCACGAGTTCTTTTTTTTTCCTTCCTCTGTGCTTTTTTTTTAAACATCCTTATTCATATATTTTTGTATATTTTATTGATTTTGTGTACTTTTTAATATTTTATATACTATTTTTTATTTTATGTGTATGAGCATTGCATGTGCATGTAAGTGCACCCATGTTGTGCAATGCCCACAGAGGTCAGAAGAGGGTGTCAGATCCCCCTGGAACTGGAGTTATGGATGGTTGCTAGCTGCCATGTGGGTTCTGGGAATTGAGCCTGAGTCTTCTCCAAGAGCAGTCAGTGTTCTTAACCACTGAGCCATCTCTCCAGTCCCTGATTTTCTGTGTAGTTCAATCACAACTTCTTAATCATCTTTATACCCCCTTCCCCATCAGCACCCTTCCATAGCCCCCCCACCCCCACTGGTTTTCATGCATTCTGTCATATATGTTAAGACCTATCAAATCAAGTTAGTGTCCCCAGATGTCCCTCAGTGCAAGTTCATCCACTGGGGTGTAGCCAGCCTATCTAGAGTCACTCCCTTAAGGAAGATCATCTCTTCCTCAGCCAGCAATAATCAGCTACTCAATAGATATTTGAAAGACTGAAGCCTGCTGCCCTTTTCTAGAGTTCAATGCTGAGTTTTTGTCTGCTTGAGTTTGTATGGGTCTGTGCATGCTGACACCATTGCTGTAAATTCATTTGAGCAAGGCAGGAGTTTATAGGACTCTATTTCTATATGGTCATGCACCTCCTCCCTGGCTCTTACAACCTTTCCACGCCCTCTTCCACAATTTTCCCTGAGCCCTGGGTGGTTTAATATAGGAGTCCTGTCCAAGGATCCAGTTATTTGTATTCATCACCATTCACTGCAAAGGGAAGCTTCTCTGATCCAAGCTGAGACTAGCATTTGCCTGTGGGTATGAACACAAACATTTAAAAATCAGTTTGATGCCATGTCTAGACAGGCTTTTTCTTTTCTTTTTTTTTTTCCAGTTTTGGGATCAAACCATGCTAGTTCGTGCTACCACTGAGTCCATGCTCAGCCTTCGTTTCGTGAGTCAGGGTCTTAATCTGCAGCCTAAACTGACCTCAGACTCATTATCCTTCTTCCCCAGTTTCCTAAACTGGGATTACAGGCATGCACCACCATATTTGGTTGAGATAGTCACCATTAATCAGCTACTGAGAGACTTGCAGATACCTGTTGGATTTTTGCATACTGGGTCTTTCTCATGGTTGCCTCAGCCCATTCCTATGATGATAGGATTTCTCTGTAGCAGGTGGATGCCAAAGGATAAAGAGGTGGCATTCTTCAAATTCCTGTCTAGTAGAAAGCAGAGTTTGGTAGAATGAAGAGTGTAGACTTTGAAGACTGACCTGGATTCCAATCTCAGCTCTCCAGTTAAGTGACTACGTGACCATGACCCTGTTCCTTACCCTCTGTGAAGAAGAGAAAAGAGACACAACTAAAGAGGCCACTAATGGTACTCAATGTTTATACACTCCTTTTTCTTTAATGATAGAACTCCGGGGACTGAAAAGATGGCTCAGCAGTTAAGAGCACTTGCTACTCTTACAGAAGACTACAATTAGGTTCCTAGCACCCACATTAGGCAGTTTGCAACTCCAGCTCCAGAAGATCCAATACCCTCTTCTGACCTCTGTGAGCACCAGAACTCACATGCACAAATCCAAACACAGACACACACACACACACACACACACACACACACACACACACAGTTTCATTGTATGGGGGAAATGAATAAAACATCACCTTTTAAAAATTACTAGTTTGGGGGCTGGAGTGGTGGCTCAGTGGTTAAGAGCACTGACTGCTCTTGCAGAGGACCCAGGTTCAATTCCCAGCACCCACATGGCGGTTATGAACTGTCCTTAACTCCATTTCCAGAGGAATCCGATACCCTCTTCTGACCTCCGTGGCATTGCACAACATGGGTGCACTCACATACA